GTTCACTTTGCTCATAGAAAAAGCACACAGGGCTGAGTTTTTTTGCGGCTCGCCATGCTCATCCACCTTTGCGAACACCCCATACAGAATATCCTCTGTCCTGTCCACCCCTAGCTCGTCGGCCAACTCCTTTCCCACCCGCCCAAAGTGGGCCGCTTGAAGACCGTTATACACTATGTCCTTGAAACTCTCTCTCCTCCTCCTCCTGCGTTTGGGTTCAAAGCGGCACTCCAGGACCACTTCTCTGTACATCCACACCTCAGGTATTAATATTGGGAGTCGCCCCAGTCGAGTCTGAAATGCTGAATCGCCCTTAAAGGGATTTTCTCTCTGCAGGGACAGAAAGTAGACGAACTCCTTGGTAGAAAAGCTGTAGATGTAATTAATCCTGTAAGAGTCCTGTAGACTGGGGAGCACTGTCAGACCTTTCATCACCATATGAAAGCCATCCTCAGTTGAGAGTGGCCTCACCACTGATATCGACCTCCTGGGATACCGCTGTGCCACTCTGCCATCCACAGAAGCAGCGACAAAGAAAAGGAACAATGTGGCCGACTGTGGCACGATGGTGACTCTGGTGCCAAATGGACTTGCCAAACAGTCAGGACAATCAGATGGAGAGTTTTGCTCTTTTCTGAATAAACACTGTGGCTCCGGCTTTTGGGCAAGAATATCAATGAAGTGACAGATGCCATGCTGAGTGCTCCCACAAATGTACAAATATGGCAAGACAACTTCAGCAGGATCCAGAAGCAGAACCACATTGTCTGTATCCACTGGATCCTTGGGATCTGTTTCGATGTCACACACATGACAGGTCTCACAGTCCGGACTGCCAACAGGTCCAGTTCTCACCTCCCATAATTTATCCATAGTATAGTTTACTGCCTCTATGACATTCTGGGATCCAACGTACACATCCGGCTGATGCTCTTCCCAGCGCACCACTATGTTCTGTATAGGTTTGTCAGTTTGGAAGTGGGGGAGGGAATACTTTACAGTGAAATCCACCAGCCTGCGTGGGGTGGTAGGACATGTGTGCTGTCCCGAGGCGATCTGTGTTTGTATTATCCATATGCATACTGTCAGCAAGGTGGCCCAAGTGACCATCTCCACGTCACAGTCCACTGGGATCGACCGCTACCTGTGAGACACTTTCCTCAGAGAGAACATTCTGGGTCAGGAGCTCTGTGAGGGGGAGACATGGCGAGGAATGTTGAGATTTCACAGGCGGAGCAGCAACATTTGATTCCCACGTTCAGCAGAGTGTCTGGATGGGGACACTGCAAATATTTTAGCTTGTTTAAACAGGAATACAGCATAAGGAAGTGGGGGAAAGAGGAAAAGAATACTGTTTTATTCAGGAAGCATCAACAATTTTAAAAAAGGGGAGACTTGATTCGCACACATGGGGAACAGCTGTGACAGTATAAAGGCGATAAAGCCAGTGGGGAAAAAAAGTTGGTGTAGTGTCAGTAAAAAAATCTACTGTGGGCAAGACATGACATGCTGCAACTTGAGGAGCAATTATGTTCAGGACCCCAGAGCCATACAGCAAATAAACAGGAAAATACTATTACGCCTAATAATGCAAATAATGCAATAATAATTATAACAGATAGCAAAATCAATGGGTAACAATATATGCAAATAATTCAGTAGTTATCCTGCATATGAAGCTGCTCTATAAAGTGAAAACTTTTAATTTAAGATTATTGTTGAAATTGAATCTCACGTTAGCTAAAGTAAAAGTGGGCTGATGATTTGTGAATAACACCCAAAGTTTGTTGAGTCATATGTTAACGTGGACTGAACCACACACCCCTCCCAAAAAACATGGGAATAAATAAAGCTTACCTCTTTGTGAAGGTGTCAGAGTGTCGTTTAAAATGTTTCCAACAGTTCCAGAGTGTGAATTCTTCTCAAGACCGAACCTCCTGCTGTCCTGACACCCCTCTCTCTCTCTGGTCCAACTCTGTGTACTCACCTGACAGAGCTGGAGAGTCACTGGTCCAGAGTTTACAATGACTCTGAACCACAAGTCAGCAGCAACAACCTCTGCTGCGTGAATGGAGACAGGATGTTACAACCTGCTTCAAAATTAAAGCTCATCATCTCATCACATGGTGGGACTACAGGCCTGAAATGAAACCTGTCAGTGCTTCGTCCCTGGAGGATCGATTCAAATTGGAGCAGAACACAAAAGAGTCTAAAGAGAATAAAATAGAAAAGAGAGCGAATTTGAAATAATGAATATAACAAAAGAAGGAAATAAAATTATGTCCAGTATTCTGCGGCATTTTTTGGCGATGATAGAGAGAGCACTTTCAAAACAAATACTCATCTCAGTTACATCAGTCTCTTCACCCAGACTGACATCATGATGCTGCCGTCAAGCCGTTGAATAAATGTAAGGCCAATCAGATGCCTCAGTCTCTGGTGGTTCTGTGTGATAGATAAAATCTAACCTCAGGGTGCACCAAAAATTCCCACACTTATATAATTAATTACCCTAAATCCCCTTAATATCAAGATCCCTGAAAACAAAAATTGCTGCTAAATAACAAACAAGCAGGCGATGAAAACAATAAAAATGTCACTATAATAATATTTCTTATTCAACAACACAAAACAGGGATCTTACGATAAGATTGTGAAGTTGAAACTATACATTTAAACTTTATAGTTTTAAAAACCTATTATTTTCATATTTTCTTTTTTCATATCGGTTTTTCGTTTGTTATAGTGTTGTTGATGTTGTTTTTATAATTACCACAAGACGTGATACGATTTCCTTCTTAATTAACCTTTTCATTTTCAGAAAACGTTTCTAAATGCGATGAGTGAGAGATCTATTTTGAAAGTTAAAAACCGGAAGCTAAGTGGTCATACACCAGCTTGATGGGGATTTTCGGAGCAGACAAAGTGAAGCCGCGCCCTCAACAAGGAAGTGTGAGAGAGTTGCGAAATCACGAAGGTGTCCTGATGTTTCCTCTCCAGGAGTCAGATCGAGCCTTATCTTCCACTCAGACGTCACAGTGTCACAGTCTGTGGAAAAACCTTTAAAAGAAGCACAATCTGGGCTTCTTCCTGCGTCTGTGGGATTTAGGCCAGAACTGCATTGCATTCAGATGAGAAATTAAGATAATATACAAATACAGCCAACTTCATCCAGGAAGCTATGAGAGGAATGTGTTCCCTCTGCAAGCAGAACAACCTCTGTTAAAGCTGCAGTTCAATCCCAGGACCTTAAATATAATAAAGAAAACAACAGTTATTTCTATATTTATAAGTCAAACCCTGCTGAATACTGAACCTTACAATGAATCAGGTTATTTATCATCATACAATCATCACTGACTAAACGAAGCATTATGGAACCAGAGGTTAAACACATATGAATGCAAAGCGAAGTAATCGCAGACCTAAAAAAATCCCAGTTGTGTCACAAAACCACATCCAACCTTAAGGATCCAGTTTCATTCGTCTTAATGTAACAGAGAGTGTACTGGATACGTTCTGCAGGAGAACTGAGGCTGCATGAGATAGTTGTTTTGATTGGAACTGGAGAGGGACGTGCTGGATAGAGGCCGAATGACTGAACAAACAAATGTGTGGAGGACATGAAATCTAATGTTTCTGTCTGTCCCTGTGTAAATCACATACCTGACTCATGAGGTAGGGAACAAACAACACGCAGCACTCCACTGCAGCTGGTTTGCTCCTTGACACTGTGATTATCTCAAGAGAAATGACTGAGATCATTAGTAACACTTCATAGTTATTGATATATGAATTATAATTATTTCCATAATGATTTGGCACAGCATAGCAAATGTTTCGTATGGGTAAAGGATTATAAACTATATTTAACTCACTCAAGACAATGGATGGTTTTGCCTGGTAGTTGTACATTTGTACATTTGAGTATTCAGCAGGATGTCGTGCAATGAATTATTTTTGTAGAACAAAATCATTCAGGCTCAAAAGCACTTTATTTTGTCCTGGCAAAGGTTAAGTGGCTGACAGGATATCTGATCAGAACAGATAATGAGATTACAACGATAACAGTTAATGAAATTGCACCACACAAAATGGTCTATACTATATGAAGCATTACAGTAATTGTATACATCATATGGGCACTGGAACTGATTCCAGGTTCCTGTTCAGCCCCTAAATTAGTCTGTCCCTCTGCGCACCACAGATTTCACTGCCTCTATGATGAATCACTTCTAGTCAGTAAAGGCATCACGCGTGTGTCGGCCTGAATGGGGGCGGATACGACTCTTCACCAATTATAACCATGACTTACACATGAAGCAATACTAAGGTGGAGCTTTGTTATTGTCACCATGGAAATGTTAAGGATCCCCCCCAGACATGCTTTGTGAGATATTCAGATATTCATACCTCCACCAAGGAGGTTATGGCTTCATCCCTTTTTGTTTGATTGTATGTTTGTTAGAAAAATAACTCAAAAACCACTGGACAGATTATCTATGTATAGATATCTATATTATAAATTTAACGAGACTGTTAGACCCTGGCCATTCTAGTATAGAGTATGTCTCCACAAAAAGTAAACTAACGCAAATATTACATCTTCAACTTCTCTCTAATTCAAAATATCATAAAGAATGAATATTTAAATGTTAATTTCAGAGGTGTACACATCTCCTCAATTATAATTTCACAAATAATCCCATTCTCAGAGTAACAATACTTGCATGAATGTCATAACTGAATATATGCTGTGAAGTGGCAGATTAATGTTTAACATCACAGTGCTGTGAAATGTAGATTTTGCCCAATGAGCATATAAATACTTAGAAGATTAAAAATCTTCCAGTTCAAATTTCTAACCAGCACATTTTTAAAACTGGGCTGAGGTCACAATCTGGTGCCTGCACAATCCTGAGTGTCCCTCTAGTGGCCGAGCTAGAAACTGCTTTTCGGCGCAGAAATAAACCTTTTCCCAGAATCATGAGAAACGAAAGTGAAATACTATTTCATTGAAACTGATGACAGGTCAGTGTCTATCGGTTCCTGGTTCGTTGCATTCGGTTGCACTTGGACAGTGTTGGTATTGTTCAGCTGTTCTCTCTTCGGACTGCACGGATCATATTGGAGCCTGGTGACTTCTAGTGCAACATGTCAGGAGTCGGTGAAATCGATGAAGGATTCTACTCCAGGCAGCTGTAAGTACCACAGACTAACACTGTCTGACTGCATGAACGGTGGCCCACACACGTTCACTGGTTCTGTCACATGCACAGGTATGTTCTGGGTCGTGAGGCCATGCAGCGGATGGCCACAGCCAACGTCCTCATAGCAGGCATGAGGGGTGTGGGAGTGGAAGTGGCCAAGAACGTCATTCTGTCCGGAGTGAAGTCTGTCACTGTCCAGGACGAAGGAGACACAGAGTGGACAGACCTGTCCTCCCAGGTACTGACTCTGGGAACTTTTACATCACATGTATGAACTTTCTTCAACAATCTGCCTTGACCGGTTGGTGTGAGAGGAGAGAAATGGGGGAGAGAGGGGAGGAGGAAGGGAGGAGAGAGAGAGAGAGAGAGAGCATGAACAGTTGTGTAACCATAACTATATTTAAAGGTACAGCGTGTTGACTTTTGTGATATCTAGTGTTGAAATTGCATGTTGCAGCTGAACACCCCTCGCCTCACCCTCTCCTTCCAAACATGACAAAGAACCTGTGGTAGCCTTTAATCATCATAAGAATTCAAAAGATGTTTAGTTTGTCCAGTCTGGACTAATGTAAAAAACATGGCGGCCAATAGATCCCTTTCACCTAAATCTTACACACTGGACCTTTAAGGAGTCAGACTGTAAACAATGTAAAATATCCCAACCAAATATATATATATATATATATATATATATATTTTATATTGTTTGCTTGTCTGTTTAAATGTTGTAAAACATAATCTATCACACAACTAATTGTGAGTTTTATGCTTCATTCAACAGTTGTTGACAAGGTTTAACAGGTGGAGGATTTCATGACGGCCTGAAAAAGAAAAGTCTGAATCTGCAGGATGAGTGTGTTGGTTGATCTGCACTTGAAGCTGTTTTGTGAACCTGATTTTCTTTTCCCACCAGTTCTTCCTGAAGGAGTCTAATCTTGGTCAGAACCGAGCCACGTGTTCCCTTAAACAGCTGTCAGCCCTAAACTCCCATGTGCACGTGTCAGCCCACACTGCACCACTGGATGAGCAGCTGCTTCTACAGTTTCAGGTACTTGACGAGATGGTGCATCATGTTAAATATGAGCCTTTGTTCCTGTTGTAAATTTCAGAATTTTCATCCCAAAAAGTTCAGTTAACTAGTTAAAAATTCCATCTGCTCCTGCTGCTCGTACTGAACTCCTGTTAGGGGGAGCACAGAGAAATATTCCCTTCTAGGGTCAAACTCTGCACATACACCATTCTGCACAGTGAAGGCCAAACATTCATGTAACGTACAACAACCACAACACACTGAGTGGAGAGAGTCTGTGGTGTTTCAGGTGGTGGTCCTCACTGACTCTTCGCTGGACGATCAGAAACGCTTTGGCGAGCTCTGCCATTCACGTGGAATAAAGTTCATCGTGGCAGACACCAAAGGACTGTGTGGGTAAGTGTTCATGACAAACTGTCAAACATTGAACGGATGCACAGGGAAGAGGGAAGAGAAAACCTTGCGGTTTCATTTGCAGGCAGCTATTCTGTGACTTCGGGGAGAAGTTTGAGGTCTTGGACCAGAATGGAGAGACGTCTGAATCCGCGATGATACAGAGCATCTCTAAGGTAAAGACTTTCATTTGGATAATTAACGTATATTTCAAGGCCCTGTTCCAACCTGGTATATACATCCGTCCTGAGAGATCCAACCACAAGTGGGCCGTCTGTTCACACGTCCCGAATGTGTCTTCTGTGACCACTTGTGATTGGATCTCATGTCTCTGCTCTATATGCATTTACACATCAAACCAATGTGGCCACATGCGTCCCAGACCACCTCCGAATGTGGTCTGAGTGATCGGGTCTCAGGACCCATTTGGGTGCGTTCAAACCTGTACTCAGTTCTGACCACGTCACTCAGGACGAATGTTAATACCAGGTCTGAACACCTGTCTCTGACCTGAAATTTAAATGATTCCCAACTTTTTTTTAAGGTGTTGTAAATGAGTATATCTCTTTCTAATATAAAGGTTGTAACTGCTGTTTTTATTTTAGGATAATCCTGGAGAGGTCTGCACAGATGAAAGGCACAAGTTTTTAGATGGCACTAAAGTTTATTTCTCAGAAGTCCAAGGCATGACGGAGCTCAACAGCATCGGCCCAGTGGAGATCACAGTCCGGAGTTAGTTATTTTATCAGCATTTCTCTTTTTTCCATCTGCAGTTTCTTTCCTCTGCTTGCAACACACCATCTGGTCACATGCCTCGCTCAAGCTGCACACATGACATTCAACATTTTGAACCTTTCATCCTGTCATTCTTCATATATGAAAGAAAATTCATGTCTGAAAATGGTTTATGTTGCCTTCATCAACAGGCCCTTACTCCTTCAGCATTGGTGACACCTCAGCCTTCTCTGAATATGAACGGGGTGGAGTAGTGACTGAGATTAAGAAGCGCTGCATGTTAGGTTTTGTAAGTATCAATATTTAGTTTTAACTTTCTAATTTCTCTTCTTGAAAAAACAGTGCTGACAGTTGATAAAATAACATAAATTGCAGAAACCACTGAGTAAGGCTCTCTTGGATTTTGAACTCCTGAAAATGAATGACTACGGAAAACAAGCCAGACATAAGACGCTGCACTTTGCTTTCCAAGCTCTGCATAGCTTTGTGAAGAAAGAACAACGTCTGCCTCATACTAGGTCTCAGGTCAGTGAACGATGTTCAACTAAGTTTACAAAATAAATTTATATTATGAGTTGAAATAATCTCAGCCGAGGCTCAACTTTCCCCCTGATTGTCTTTCATCAAGACCCTTGAATTATTCTCTTAGAAATCAATACATATGTTGAAAAACACTCTTACAATTAGAGGAAGTGGAAAAAAATCCCTGACCAATAACACATCCTTCCCCCCAAGTTTCATAGTAATATTTATTGAGTAGAAATAAAATATGTAAAATTGGATTATATTTACTCAATTGTTGTGGCTCAACCCTAAATAGTCAGATGCAGATGTCCTGGTTGCCATGGTGAGAGAGTTGAATGCTGTGGCACCTCTGGAACAGCTGGATGAAGCTGCTGTGCGAAGCCTGTCGTACACAGCCCGGGGCAACCTGGCTCCTCTCAGTGCTTTCATTGGAGGCCTCGCTGCACAGGAGGTCATTAAGGTGAGGTCAGAGGTCAATGCCTATAACACAGTTTTGTCTTTTGGGTTTTGATGAAGCCTGTTCGCACTGCTTTTCCTCACACGTTTGATAAACATATGATTTACTGTGTTGTGGAGGTGTGTAGTAAGTAACTGATTGTACTTTGCTCTGTGCACTCGCTGTAATGTACCTGCAGGCATGTAGCAGGATATTTACGCCTCTTCAGCAGTGGCTATATTTTGATGCACTGGAGTGCCTCCCCCAAGAGGACAGTCAACTGGCAGAGAGCTTCTTTTCCGCAGTACGTAAAGAGATTCCTCGAATTCAACATTTCATTTATGAAACAGGAAGAGTGGGTTAGACTGGCATGAGCCAGATTCGCCTCTAATCAAACTGTCCCTGTCTCTGACAGAAAGGCACACGGTACGATGGGCAGATTGCTGTGTTTGGGTCGGCGTTCCAGGAGAAGCTTGAGAGGCAGAAGTATTTCCTGGTAAGGGCCGGTGGTCAGAGTCGTCCGGCAGGGGGCGCTGTCTCTCTGTGCTGTAAATCAGGGCCTCCAGCTGTGTTTGGCTTTTGATCTTGTCTGGTGTTAATGTTGGCACATGCAGGAAACGGCTGCGATTCAGGTGGCATTTCCTGCCAGTGTTGAACTCTGGGTGTACAGGGGCCGAGCCCTTTCTGTGTTTCCTCTCACACTGTTATTTTTACAGTTGTTTACTGCCTGTTTGTGGGTGTGTGTGTGTGTGTGTGTGTGTGTGACAGATCGAGTGCATGCATTTGTTTCTTATACCACTGTAAAAACTTCACACTAAGCATCAGACAGTGAAACAAGGGATTTACATGCAGGAATAAATTAATTCTACTATTTTAAGTATTTTTAAACATTTTGACAAGTGGTATCATTTGGTGACATTTAGTTGCACCATCAAATTCATTTAAACTCATTTCATTTGGTATAGCACTAAATCACCACATACATTATTGCTTACACTTTACACAATAGGGTGAGGACATTACATTATTATACCCAACAGTTTCCATTACACATGGTGACTGTAGAGAGAAGTAACTCTAAACTCTTTATTATCCGGCCTATTATACTGTTATTCTCATCCTCCCTCTATCTCGTCTCATTTCAAGGTCGGAGCTGGAGCTATTGGATGTGAGCTTCTCAAAAATTTTGCCCTCATGGGGCTCGGAGCAGGAGAAAAAGGGCAAATCACCGTAACGGACATGGACTTCATAGAAAAATCCAACTTGAACCGCCAGTTCCTGTTCAGGTCCCAGGATATTGGGGTGAGAAAACACACAGTATCAGTGCGTCACAGCCTCCTCCATGTCCTGAGGAATCCATCGAAGCTCAGTGGCTCTTGTTGGATCTGGTTAAGGGGAAAAGTCAGAGTTTCTACTGGTGGGACAGAATGGGGGTGCCACTATTCAAATAACGCAGCTGCCATGTTTCCATCATATCTTGCTACTTTGTTTTGTATATTTGTTTATTTCAGGAGTATATCAGGCAGCTGGTTCTGCTGTTATATAAAAGAAGAGAAGCAAGATATAATATTGAGTTATTAACGTCTTTTTTAGCTGTTTGATTTTGCAGATTTCTTGGAAATGTTTCACAGAAATATTAATATTTACAAACTTACAACATTTTGTGCCATTTCCACCACTTTGTGTTTGAGTCTGATCTCACCTACGTTGCTCACATAAATTATCTCCCACACACACACTTGTTCGCAAACAGAAACCAAAATCGGAGGTTGCAGCCAAAGCAGTGAGAGAGATGAACCCGCGGATGAAAATCGCCGCTCATCAGAACCGCCTGGATGCTGACAGTGAAGAGGTGTATGGGTATGAATTCTTCATGGGTCTCGACGGAGTGGCTGCAGCCCTCGATAATGTGGAAGCCAGTGAGGACTTTTACTCAGTTTCCATTATTCACTATTCACTTTAGAAATGCATCTTTGGCTGCATATTTGAATGCAAAAATTCATGCCCCTCTGCTGCCCAGGGGTCTATCTTGACGGACGCTGCGTTCAACATAAGAAGCCGTTACTGGAGGGAGGAACTCTGGGAAGCAGAGGTCATACTCTGGTGGTGGTGCCTCACCTGACAGAGTCTTATGGACCTGGGGAGTCAAGGTCCAATGGTGCCATCCCACTCTGCACACTGAAGAACTTCCCTCACCGCATCGAACACACTCTTCAGGTCAGAAGAAAAAACTAAATCCATTCAGTGGTTGGAAGATATTTAACATGGCACTGGAGTAGAAGTCAGCGAATCAGAGGGTTCACCCTCTGGATACCATGAATCAGTGGCAGATCTAGGATTTTAATAAATTGGGGGCAATTAAGGGGCCACAATTTACACAGAGGGGCCAATTCTATGTCCAACACTCATGCACAATTCTTTGTTCAATGCACATTTAAGTCCTTCCACTGTTCACGTGGATAAAGTCCACAGAAACTGCAGAGACTCTCACTCGGAGGGCACGGGTTCACACACGGAAATCTAAAAATATATAAATACAATACTGGACTGATACTGGACTGAAGTTGTATCACGTACAAAGGGTTTTCTTGTCACACAGTATTATTATTAATTGGAAATGTGTATCCATTTGACCGACTGTAATAACTATAGTTACATGCATTTTTTTACAGTGTATCTTTACACTAACTTTGCTGTGTTATTCCTTCAGTGGGCCAGAGACCAGTTTGAAGGATTGTTCAAACAAACACCTGAAAATGTGAATCTCTTCCTGAGGTAAGACGTGACGCTGTCCTCATGTGATTTAATGTCTCCACAACAAAAGTTGCCTCCAGCAATGTTAAAAACTGCAAACACCAATCTGCTCCCAATCTGCTGTCTCATAATGACCACGGGTTGCTGATTTTACAAGCCTTTTCCGCTCTCTTACAAAGCATTCCAGGGTTAATGAAGTGGTTCCAGCTCATTATTTTGTTTTATAAACAGGAAAACGTGCGGTCAGCTTTCAGCAGTAAACCTCCAGTTAAAAATGACATAAACAGTCTGTCTTGCCAAGGCTCTACTCTGTAAAGTATCTTTCACACCGGCTCTGATACTATTTTCCCCAATAAAGGATCAAGCCTTTCAGCCTTTTTGATTTAGAAACTTCTACTGGAAAACTGATAAATGGATTTTATCATAAAGCATTGACCTAATTATGATGTAACCGCTCATCAGTGACAGATCTGAGCTTCCAGTCTCACACTGCGTCTGAGCTGTGAGCCTCGGAGCCGTCCCTAATCCAGCCATGTTTCTGTTTGTTTTGGGGAACTCTGTTATAATCTCCCCTCATTGTGAAACACTCACACTTTCTTGTGTTTCTGTAGAGAAGCAGAAAATTGTGACTGGAGCAGAAATTGTGCTCAGGAGTTCACAAAGCCAATAAAGTTCCTAACATTACACTGATGTTAAGAAATTAGAAGGTCTATCATGTGTTTAGGAATACTCTAAAAAAACTTTCCTCAGAGGCCTTATTATTGCAGTGTTCTGTAGCACAGTCATGGAAAAGAAACGTGTTTGGAAGTTTTCACGGGGCAGGTCAGCTACATGTTGCAGTCCAGTACATTTTAAGTTAAAGTTAATGAGGTTGTGGAAAGGAACAGTCATGGTTTGTGTTTCTCTTCCACTCATCTAGCTCTATTCAGAACTATGACTCGGAATGTTCCTGTTTAGACCTGTCTGGGTGTAACTGCCTGCAGAGGAGGCAGATCCCACTTTTATTTATCTTTTAACCGTGTATGGTGATCTGGTAAAATGTGACTGTTCGGCCTGTGGGTTCAGACTGACCAAGTACACTCCAAACAACACACCTTATTTCCTCTATGAGTCCAAAGCTGATCACCAAAGGAATTCCCTGAGTCACGAACAACACCAAGCCCTAATTTACAAAGACCTGAACAATATATTTTTCCAAGAAGACTTTGCCAATTTTCACTTCTCCAGGTCAAATGTTCTCCCCTCCCTGGTTCAAATAGTTAGACATGAACAATGAGACAGTAGATTAAGCTTGTCCTGTCTTGTCTGTCTCCACAGTGATTATTACTGTCTGTATATTCTGTCAATAAACCATAAGGAATTGCTGCACTGTTCCCTGCAGTGATTTGGACTTTGTAGAGCGGACTCTTGGCCATGGAGACGCTGAGGCCTCGGAGGTTCTTGGGGCAGTGTGGTGCAGCCTGGAGGACATGAAAACTGGAGGACAGCGTCCAACAAACTGGGAAGACTGTGTGAGCTGGGCACGTTGCAGATGGGAGACTCTGTATAACAACGAGATCAAACAGCTCCTGCACTGTTTTCCTCCCAAACAGGTAAAAAAAAGAGGAAAAAAGAAACTAACTGAAGCTGTAATTTAGGTTTATGGACACAAGAGGGCACTGTTGTGAGTGTGTGTCTGTAATGGTAAAAGTTAAATACTGCAGTGCAGCACAAAAGTACAAAGAGATTCTGAGATCTTGTGAATAACGTTGTAATATTATTAGTAATATTGCAACTTTTTTCTTGTTAAATCACATCTTCATTCTCATAATATGACGACTTTTCTCTTGGAAATGATGTCTTTATTCTGGAAATCTCAATATTAATTTAAAAGACCCTAATACTCACACATTTATTTTCCTACCATTCCCTGAGGCAGTAATGCAGCATATTTCTCCAGGCTCACTTTTATCTTTTTGCGTGAAATCGTAAATGCTGAAAGGCCATTGCTGATACATATCTCTACGGCAGCTCTGAGGGATTGTTATCTGGTGAAGCATGCAGACAGAGTGATGTCACATGTTGCTGTCACATCGGGGGGTTGGGGGTAGAGGGCACAGCTCAGTAACAACCTAAACAGACCCTCACTAACCCCCGGCCTCAGTCCAGAAATGGGACCCGACCCTCACTATACATGTGTGTCCCCACAGGGATGAACAGATCTCTCTGACCAAAATTATAAAGAGCAGAAAACTGACTTCCCTGTAAAACTATTGAGAAGAACTCACCTATGATTTATGACTTTTGACAATAAAATAATATTATCTCAACACACCATAGTCATTTATGGTTCCAGCTTTTAGTTTGTCTTTTTTCATAGTTCTCGTTGACCTGGTTACCTGTTAGATCATTGTGATTACATTGTGCTCCTGGAAAGTCAGTTTTGACCACAGACTCTCTGAGGAACTAAGATAAGGCAGCTAATGTCAGTTAACGGTTACAAACCAACCTGACAGATACTGGCACACAGGCGTGACACGCGACAGCACGTTTGACATGACATTGAATTTAGTGGCCGTGAGCCAAGTGAACATGGTTCCGCATCTGTTTTTAACTTTGACACATAGAACAAATGGCTGGTTTTGAAACAAGACATATGGAACAATAGTGAATTATGTAACTTGAGTATGGTCAGTTATTGGTGTAGCTAAAATGAAAGGCCTCACATTGTCAATGAATACATTCTGTATTTATTTTCCAGCTGATAAATAACAGTTAGTGGCTCATTACTAGTATAAGTATTAAGCAATAAATGATTAAGATGTTTGGAGAAACTAGTAAATGGTATTATTAGATATTCCTGCATCAAACAAATCACAAATCACAGAGTTGCCTCTAAAGTCTTATAGTAATATGTACATTATGTACAGCATATGATACCTTCTATCCACAGACTTCTGATTTAGATAAGAAAAACCTCCCAATCAGCCTTTTAAAGGACAAAGCATTGTTGGTTCCTGTTTTGCCTGTAGGCCATCTGAAGCTGTGACTGTGAAAAGGAGAATGTTGTTGATGCCTTTTGGCTGCAATAGAAAACACCCCTACAGTGAAAAGTGCCACCACCAGGAGACTCTCTCTTTCCCAGCTTTTGGACCATTTGGCAACATCAAAGCTCTCAGGCCCTTTGTTCCTTTAACAGACTCACAAATTGTGTAGTCGACACACAACTGATAACAATATTAGTCTGGCTGTTCCCTGGGAAGGTTGCTGACCTCCTGCTGTGCAAGAAAACTAAAGACAGGGATGTTTTATTATGAAATGTATTGACATACTGTGCTCCTGTCAAGAATCCGACTCTAAAGATAAAAAAATATATATATTAAAATATATATTTAGTCGTTTTTGTATTTAATCTTACATATAGTTATTTATAATAAAGTTATGTATGATAAAGTTTACATATCTTCGGCTGATACATCGTCATCAGAAACCTTTCACTCCCTAATGTCAGTATCTGTGTTTGCAGGTATGAAAACATATAGTTTACAGACTTTTTCTGCTACTGATCTTTGGGATTAAGGTGTTTTGTCCCGCCTCTCTTTAGATGACCCAAACTGGACTTCCCTTTTGGTCTGGATCGAAGAGATGCCCTCACCCACTGACCTTTGACCCGAACAACGTGAGTAGTTTTTGGTCCGGTTCCTCAGCCTACACAGGAGTGACTAAGAAAAGCCACAGTTTTCAGTGATGATCACTCACATTCCTCCGTTATCTGCTCTGATAGTGGCTCTTCCTCACTCCGACCATAAACTGGATTCTTATCTGAGCTGTGAACGCAACGTAACCTGCGTATGGACAATAAAAAGCAGATAGTAGACACTGCTCTCACATTAACTAACAAAGGAGGTAATGGTCTGATATCAAACTGGCCGTACTAACTCAGAGGCCTATGTTGCACTTATAGTTGGGAGAAAGAACATTTGGAGTGTTGACCTCATCTTTTCCTCCATCTCTTCACTCTCTGCATTATATTTCACCTCCTGTCATCTCTGTTTTATCTCCATCACAATTTCCTGTTGCTCTTCCATCTGTGTGAAATGTTGCCAACGTATCTTTCATGATCTCACTTTGACCGACAGCGCTACATTTTCATTTATTTAGAAAAGTCTACTGAAGACTCGATGATTTCAATATTGCACCGTGTGGTACTGGCCATATTAATTGCAAAATATTTATTTAAAAATGTCATTATTATATATTTTTTTATCTGTATTTTCTATTTCTTGCAGCAAATTTGTCTTAGGCTCATCTATTTTTCAATTTTTAGCGTGTGTGTGTAGGTTTTTTCTTTTATATTCACTGTTGTTTCCATCTATTGCATATAAATCCTTACAACACAATAACTGGTGTTCTGATTATTATTATATTTGGATGTTGTGTTTCAGACGACACATATGGAGTATGTGGTGGCAGCAGCTACTCTGTATGGACATATTTATGGGATCAAGGGGACAAGAGATGGAGCCTCTATCAGCAAAATCTTAGAGAAAGTCCATGTCCCATCTTTCTCTCCCAGCTCCTCCGTGAAGATTCATCTCACTGACACGGAGATGCAGGAGAGCAAGGAAAAGGAAAGTGATGACGCAGGTGAGCTATTACCTTTTATTTCCTGGTATTACCTAACGTCTTCCCAGGACATCTTTTATTTACTATCTCTGCCTCTTTGCACTAGAAAAAGCTGGACTTGATGAGTTGAAAGGAAAGTTGGCCTCACCATCTCTGAAAAGCTCTGCCGCGCGGATGTACCCCATCGACTTTGAGAAGGTAGGGCCGCAGTGTAGTCACTGCTCTGCTGCACACGCCACAGACGCCACAGACAGAGTGGCAGCTGAGCCTTAGCAGGGAGCGACTCTCAATCTATTGGCGCTTTCAGAGTGTGTCTTTTTATGGGGGGGTCCTCAGTGACCTGAATCTGAGCTGTGCCCCAACACAGAGCTTCTGTGTTCACTGTGTTAACACCTTGGAGCTTAGATGTATATTTTGGAACTGTACATCCTGTCTGCAGAAGTAGTAAAAAGAAACGGTTCAGTGAGCCAACGCACATGGAACAGATTTATTTCTGAATGAGCCAATGTGAGAGCTGTGATAACACGGTTTTAGAGCGATGCAGTGGACAGAGACACTCTCCCGTCAACTGTGTCGAACCACATCTTTGAAGTGACACACTCGGACCCCTCAGGGCAGATTTCACTCTATAACATGTCCGTGGTGCTTCTGTCAACCAACTCGTCACAGTTTTCTCACTCAACAACTCATCCCTCTCTGACTGGACTTCATTAGGTTTTGCACACGTATAGATCCGTGCATGCATTCACAGATTTGTCCACATATTCAGAGATCAATGCATCTGTTTGCAGCTTTGTCTACACATTAGCAAATCTCAATACACTTGAAAATCATCACACGTTTACAGATTAATGTCCACATCTGCAAATCTCAGCACAGATTTACAGAACTATTTACATATTTACAAATCTGATTAGGCACGCAGACTGAGATACAGTTATACAACTATCCACACACAGCAAACAATAATGCTACAGTATTGGCCCAACGGAAAGCTTTTTACTTCACATGTGGGTTGCTCCAGGTTCAACAAAGCGGCACAGAAAATATGTAGTTACTGTAGCTGCAAAGGTGAATGAGTGCTGCTCTCCAGTTGCTTGATTGAGGCTCTGGTGAAGCATTCAGTGACTCAGGTGAAGCAGTAATGAAGGCGCATGAGGTAAGTCAGGTACATATCGGATGTCTTGAATAAAAATGAGATCCTGCTTTTGAAGCTCGCCCTCTTCTTCATTTTTATCCTTGCATGCCCAGGTCATGCTGTGGATAGATGGAATGTGTGTAGGAGGGATTCAGAGGCATCAGGTTGCCAGCTCCGAGCATCCTCACAATGCCTAAAGCCATCCCTGAGTGACAGTCCCCTTCCTTGCCTTTGTACAGCCGCAGCAGCAGAGGCATGACCTCACTGGCCACGTCCATCACAACAGAAATCTGATTTCCACTGCATTCTGATGGGGTGACCAAGTCACGTATTAGAGTGATTTAACGGACGAAACAACAAAGCCTTCAAAGCTCAAAGCGGAAACATCACAGGGAATGTCAGGCCTCCGAGCTGTAATGTAGCTTATACTGAATGTGGAGTTTCAAACCTAGAATTAAAAAAAGTAATAACAGAGCTGTATGTATGTTTTGTTCCTGTGTTTCAATCCTTGTTATATACGGTGACTGATATGTGTTTAACATCTGATCTTGCACAGGATGACGACAGTAACTTCCACATGGACTACATTGTTGCAGCTTCTAATCTAAGGGCAGAGAACTACGACATCCCCGCAGCAGATCGCCTCCAGGTCAACACTTTCACATCATGCATCATCTAATAACCTCGCTCTGAAGGATAGAAAACATAGAGGACAGAATGACGAAGTGAGAGGTGGTACGGATTTGAAAAAAATCTCGCAGACTGCTCCCCCCCTCCCTCAGGGTCATGTTTTGAGTCGGTGCTGCACACACCTGCCCCAAAGCCACAGAAACAGCCAGCTCTCCTATTGTTCCGGGGGCAGAACTAATCACAGCACTTTACCTGTCGCCTGGGAGGTGACACCTGAGCCAGGCCTTGTACCAGCCGCTGCTGCCGCAGACACGGAGGGTGGGGGGATGGGTGCTGCTGAGCGAGGGGTGACAAAAGAGGGTTACCCGTGTGTAATCTTGCAAAGACCACATGTTGCATCTTGTTTGGGAACAACTTACTCGCCCTTTAGTCCTGTTGACTTAAATGTTTTCGCACATTACACCTACACAATTAGCCCTAAATCAGTTACATACTGTAAATGTTATTATAAGGATATATTTCCAAAACTTATTTTATTTTTGTTAACCTGCCACCCCCTCTTCGTGGGACAAATCTATTCGTTTACATTTCACATTGTAAATGAAAGCTCAATACATGAAGTAAAGCTGCTCCACACATCACCCACCCACCCCAGCACCATGGTAGTGTTCAGACAGACAAATCATTATCATCATATCTTATGAGCTGATCTTATGTTTTCTATTTAAAACCATTGCTGTAAGAAAGCAATGGAGCACAATTGGAGTTGAACTGATTATGAATTGATTATTGATTATATAATAATAGAATGGCACTCAGTAGAGCGCCTACCTCCACCAAATCTTTACTCTACTGGAATTTTGTAAACCAAAATGATTTGCTCATATCAACACAGTGTAATTTTGACTGTTAAAAGTGAACTCCTCTTTGTCTCCTTCACAGAGTAAGCGAATTGCTGGACGGATCATCCCCGCCATAGCGACCACGACAGCAGCAGTGGCAGGCCTGATGTGCGTGGAGCTGTATAAAGTGTTGCTGCGTCACCAGAACATCAAGTCTTACCGATCAGCTTTCATCAACCTGGCTATCCAGAGCCTTGTTATGTGCCAGCCGAACCAGCCCCCGAAATTCCAGGTGAGTTACAGCTCCGTTCACCCGCAGGCTGTTTTAAGTCATACTTTAGTAATTGTGGGATGTTTAGGTTGAGATCTATAGACCTGAGTGAGGCATTTTATAAAGCCTGACAGACTCTTACTGTATCTGCATTTATGATTTAAGCCTGTCTGCTTAGTGGATAAATCTGTTGAGTCCTTTGTAGGTTTACTTATTTCCTCTGTGGCTGGAGAGCATTAAGGCATGAATCAGTGCTCTCAGAGCAACAGACCACTGCTAACTCTCTGCATATAAGCCATGTCTTTAGCCGGCTCCATATAATCCTCTTGGTATTCAAGTGCAGGTAAGGAACAAATGTCTGCTTCTGTGTTTATACAAATTAGGTGGATTCAAAGCAACTTTAATTCAAACCTAAAAGAAAGAGGCTTGTTCTCGTTAGAGTCTTTAAGGGTCAAATTGTCGTATGAAGTCAGACGAGGTTCATTATTGTCTGTTGCTCTAAAGAGATAATACGGAACAGCTCTTCATTAAAATGTCTAGAAATGACTAGACCCTCTATTACCACCGTTCAAGTCCCAAATCTTTTTACTGATTTGTTTAGTAAAATGTTTGCCCTGTAATTAGGGTCCTTCACCTGTAAGGGGTCCTGCAGCCCCCTCAGCCCTAGCATTCCTGACTACACCTATTTTATATATCTTTTGTTGCCGTGTAATTTACATGATCCAAAATGTCTCCCATAATGTTTAAGTTCAGACAACTCAAAGTAGATGGAAATGCCATTTAAATCTGTCATATCCTTTTGTATGTCTCTGCTATAACTTCCGGGGTAAACAATATGACAAAGGAAAAACACACTGTCACTAAGCATTCGGACAACACTACAAAACTCACCATAAAGTGCTTTTGGATACAGCCTAGGTTTTTTGTTATTGTTTTGAATGAGAGAACCCTAGTGGCAGAAGTTTCATATTGTACATTTAAATTATAAACACAAAATGGCTACCAAACTAGCAAATTGACTGGGTCACAACTGAAAGGATATGTGGGCAAATGTTTCTGCTGCCCTCTCACAGGCCTCAATATCTTACCTCTCAGCTCAGACACTGGAGCTGCCCTCCCCAGCTCTCTCACTCAGGGCTCTAAACCTCTGACAGACAGGGGTCAATGGGGGTCAGCGTAAGAGGGTAACTCCGTCCCGCAGGACGTGAGGGTGCAGTGACAGGGGGCTCTGAGACAGTGTGGGTCTGGTTTCAGCTTTGGTTACGGCTAAAAATGCTGCAGCTGCATAAAAGGCTGCTGTGATGACAGAGGCAGCTGTGCAGTCCTGAAGTTCCAGACATGCCCTCTTACTTTTCTACAAAGACCCTGGTGTTCTCACAGTTGTCTCCTGTAAACTCTGTCAAAGTGTGTCCAAACACTTGTATCATTTTTTTCCATGACTTCTAATATTTTCTGGATGAAACACAACATGTCCGTGCAGCGTGGAACATTGGATCCACTCAGTGATTGATTGCAGAGACAAAGTACCTGACATCATCACCAGCCACAGGGTTTATATTCCAGTGTTGAATCATGTAGTTAGAGGGATGGGAAGACATTAGCTTTTCCAGACCCAGGTTTTTTCAGTGAGGCTTACAGTGTTGCAGCATCAGCATTAAGGCTTTGTGCTGTTTAGCAGAGGAAAAAGAGAGGAGACAGGACACCACCGGAGGAAAACAAGGCAAGGCTGAGGCTCTGGGCCGGTGTTTGGGGAGTTAGGGACAAATCTTGCTCTAAATGAGGAGCACATGTGGTGTGGTTAGCTTTTTTCACAGAGAGAAAGAAGGAGTTGTTGTCGGCTGCCTATCCCTCAACCCTCTGAGTATGAGATGGTGAGTCATAGCATAGAATGGCATCAGTTGTTGCAGTGAGAGAAATGATTCCAAATTGTCCATCCATAAAAGTAGTTGATAGTTGATAAGAACTCATCACAAATATACGTAACCTGCATTGTGCCTACAAAATGGTCTTGGCCATAACACCTCTATAGTCCGAACATTTTACTTTTTCCTTTTTTTTGAGAATACGAATGGCTGAGTCAGATTTTCCTAGCTAGTGGGCATGTTGATCACATTTCTAACACATAGTGGCTGCGAAACTGGAAGAATTCAACTTTCTCAGGATGAAAAAGAGTTGTCATACATGTAGAAGATGCAGACTAAGATGTCAAACTAGAAAGACAGCAAGAAATCTTTGCCATGCTCTGGACATTTTCCTGATCTTGTGAACACGTCTGACCCTGACATTCTCCTGCTGCGTTCTTCATATGTGTCTGAAAACAGCTATAGTTTGTCATTTTTTCACTACGTGAACCATAATACTTTGATAACACGATTTATGGGATCCCTGCTAAAATGATATTTCTTCAAAGTAAAAACAATTGAATTAATTTTGAACTATTAAATATTGATACCGCCTTAGAAATCCAGTTTTAGATGAGATTTTTTCCCATGTCATTCAATATGCAATCATGTTCCAGTCCAGAGTCAAAGGCTCATATTCTCTGCAGCTTCCTGGGTGAAGTTTATTGATGTTTTTAAGATGCTTGTCTTTTCCAGTGATCTCCTGTCTCACTAATGGTCTAGACATGACCTCACCAAGGAAAGTGAGAACATAATGTCTAAAAACTATAGGAAGCTCTGTTTATAAATCTTTTGAGCCCTGCAGTAGGTTTACAACTTTTCAGTCCTCTTTTTCAGAGGGTGTAAAAATGAATTGTTTAAAATTGCATAAATTAGTCCACAGCTGTAAAAGCTGAAACAAAAGCAACAAGCCTGTTAATATTCTCTTGTATCTCTAATCTCTCCAAGTTCAGAGGTTTTATTAGACAGACTTTAAAGCTGCTGCAGACGTGCAGCTGTTGAATATCACTGATCAGACATGCACTATCAAGAGCTCAGCTTACTTTTGCAATGACTTGGACCTCGCCCTTCACGAGATCAGCCTCAGTTCATTAATATCAAGTAACAACACTCACATCTCTCTGGTAGTGGCCCACCCAGTGTCCATCCATCGTTTACCACATCACAGCGTCACGTCTTTGCAGCAACGTGACCGGCACTGTACCAGCTCTGACAAGGAAAAATAAGTGAGTGAGATGATTGCTTTGATTGGAGCCTTTTGAAAAGGGTGTTTTAGATGTGGCCTCTCTTCTACACACACCTGCTTTACTCACACTATGAAACTAAAATAAGTGAACGCCTGTTCTCCCACCACACCAAACATTTTCCAGAAATTGTTGCTTTAAGCAGCTGTTTCCCAAAATAGGAAGTTCCCCTGGCTTTCCCCCCCGCCGCTGTTCTCCATATGGAAGCAGAAATATGTAAACAAATGGGAGCTGGTCCTTGTCTGCTCAATGCTGCCGCTCTTTAGTATCACTTCCCTCCTAGTGTTTGTTTTTCAGTTGGGGGAGTGAGGCACATGACATTAAAGAGGGAACTAGTTTGGCAAACACCCAGAGATGAACATCTTATAAAATGGCCCGAAATTCTTTCAATATAGACATCGTTATATATCAAGTAGCTGATATATTACTTTGCCATTGCCATGGACTGTATATAAAGATGGAAGACATGAATTCTCCCCAAAAGTGAACCCACAGTGTCTTCATCGCCATTTGGTGGCATGTCATAAATCCAACTTCCTCCATGTTAGTGGATTGGACAAACTAAGCAAGTACACATCTATGTATGGTCATTTTAAAATGTTATCATCACCCTGATGTTCAAGAGCTCATTCTTTCAGTAACTCAATCTTCTGATTATTTATACAGTATAGTTCCAGCTTTATCTGGTATATTTTGGTTGTATTTCTGGATAGTGGGAGGAAATTGAAACCCTTCGTCCATCTTTATAAAATAATGATGCACCTTACTTGTAATTGTTGTCATCTCATACTCAAAGAAGAAGAATTTTTATGTTCTAACTTACTTAACTTTTCAGCTCATTTAAAATAATAGCGATTGTGGCTTATGACGATGCCCCTGGGGTCTCCCCACAACAACCATTCGGGCTTTAACATTTGATTTCAGAACGTCAAACATAATGTCACCAAACTCTGAACATAAACTTGCCAGCGTCCAGCTTTTCGACAGTCTCTCCTTGTGGGTCCCCGCTTTGAGCTTCGCTCATGTGCGTCTCAGTCTTTATGTCTCTGTCTCTCTTTGTGTGTGTCTCTCTCCCTCTGTCCCCCCGGCAGCTCTGCTACTGCCTTTTTAATCCAGGAGAGTTGATTGGCCAACTAGTCTCAGCTGTGCCAGTCAGTTCTCTCTCACCCTTGATGGAGGTCTATGCTCTACTCTAGTTTAAAGCAGTTATAATCAATGGGTCAAATGACTCAGCTTCCCGAGCTCTATAAAGCATTTTATCGTCTTTTATCTCATTACTTCAGTTTTATAACTTTACAACTTGTTTCAGTTCACTCTTACTGTTCTCATCAGCGTTGCTTCCAATAACTGCCCAGCACCAAGCAGAAATGAGCAACTGTGCGGAAAGGAAGTCTTTGGAAGAGGCTGTACAGTTAGTAGGCCTCAATTCACCTCAGCAGACGGTCATGTTATTGCAGGAAACAAAAACCTCACAAAACATTAAAGGGTATTTCAAGAGCAGCAAAGATTAATGAGTTCTGCTGCAGCTGTAACTGAGCTGCAGCCTCAGTAAAACACAGCGAAACATCACCTGAGGGGCAGGACAGAGGAGGACATGTTCAGCTGGGTATTAAATAGCTCCATCCTCAACCCCTCCAGGAGCTTGCCCAATACATACCAGTCCCTGCTGTCTTTGTCTGCTGGGCTGCGTGCATGGAAATACTCCCTGTTCCGTGTCTGTGCACACATCCTCCACACCCTGGTCTTAACTTTGTGCCCTTTCACGCTCCCTCTGTGCCCTTCTTCCCCAACTTGCCCTTTCAGCTCCCTAATTGAATTAGCAGCATTGGAGGCAAGGCTCCTGATCTCAAGGAAGCCACTCCAAGGTCAATGCTCA